CCCCCGCCCATTCTCATTCTCTCTCTGTTTTCCCCCTCCTCCCCCTCCCTCTCATCTACCTGAGTTTCTTGGTTGTTTTTTTAGATAAACTTTGGAAAGAGAAAGAGAGAGAGAGAGAGAGAGATGGGATCGTCGTTCGCACAATTGTGAGTCCTGCTCCATATCGATCATTAATACCGGGAGCAAATTCTCGAGCCGATTCTCACCCGCAGGTGACGTGATTCGTGCACGCACGCACGCACGCACGCACGCACGCACCGGTCGCATCTCCCGGTACTCCAGATCCGTTCTCCAGTCGCCCCGCTCTCCTGGCGGCTCTTTTTCCTTCCTCTCCTTCCGCTGGACGGTGACGGCTGTGTGCGCGACGTCCCGATGCCGCTTCTCACCTACGCTGCAAGAAGTGTAACGCGGCTAAGGGGAGCAGATTTCCCGAGAATTCGCCTCTCGACGGCGGCCGGTCGTGCGGCGTGCGACCGATTCCCGTCTCTCCCTCGCTTGGGCACGCGCTGCACGAAGCGTCTCTCTACCACGGCTTTCTACAGAGCACCGCGATAATTAAGATGAACCGTAGTGAGATTATGCCGCTTAATTTTCTTTTTTTTTTGTTTCGTTTTACACAAACTGCATCGAGTTCGTTGCGGAACGCAGCCATTCGACGGGCGCAAGCGTGACGTTTCTTTAAAGGGATCGGCACACGATCGCCGTATGCGTGCGCGCGCGTGTGTATGTGTGTATGTAACAGCACGATCATTTAAATGAGATATGTGCCTCGTATCGTTGGGACGCGAATCCCATTCGTGCGCACGTATCGAGAAAATCCTGACGCGTGCTCCGCGAAGGATTTTCCGCCCGCGAGCGGCGATCTCTCGCGAAATCCCGGGGGTAGGATCTCTACAGAATCCTCCCCGACGTGCTCCCGAACACGACGACCGGGGGAGGGGGGATACGTTTCTAATCAACGGTCGTTTCGAAGTTTCATTTCGGCGAGTTTCTCCTTTCGAAAACAAAAGAAAAAAGCCAAACGGAGTACACGACGGTAACGGCTCATCTCGCCCCCTCCCCCCCCCCTTCGGGACGCTGTTGTCCGTTAACTTCGGAATTAGTCAAGGGTTCCGGATGTGGGGAACGGCCTTCGGAGCCGAGGGACCGTCGCGAGACTCGGCGGCGTCTACCGCGAGTCCTCGCCGTTCCTCGTCGCCGTCGCCGTTCGGCTGCCATTTAAGCGTGAACACGGCCGGGAGACGTATTCGAATCGATACCCGCGGAATACGATTGGTTAATCGAATATCCTACGCGCGGCTATCGGACTTTATAAGCTAAAATCTGATTGGTCCTCTTTCTCGTGTAATTTCGACTCCTGTCTTGCCGCTACCAATTGCGCGGTGCGCCTTTACCCGCGATATTGAATACCCGATGCGTTGCCAGTGCGACTCGTCCGTAGCGTTGTTCTCTGCAGTCTTTCTCCCTCCCTCCCTCTCTCTGTCTCCTCCCTTCCCCCCCTCTCTCTCTCTCTCTCTCTCTCTGTCTCCCGTTATTGCCTATCCTTTCACTAAATTCGCATGACTCCGTATACATGCATGTATACACACACACACGTATACACACGGATCCATAAATCTGCTCGCTGTAAAGAGAGCACCAGCACTTTGCGAATCTCGTTTTCATTCTTCCTCGCGTTTCCGACAAATACGCGCCGTAATTAAAATTTCCCATTGGCGTGTCGCGGGTTCGATTGTTATCCCACGGTCGCCGTTTTGTCCGTGGCGTGTATACCGCACATTGCCATTCAATTTCGCTGTTACAATTACGATTCCAAGTTAACTCGCCGACGGCGCACTCCGGTGCCTGCGCTCCAAGTCCCCTCAAGCGTGCCTGTCTTTCGTACGTGCGAACTATTTTTTTTCCGTGTATACGTGATTCTGCACGCACATTTCCCGACGTTTCCCTCTCCGGTAGGGAAAAGCCAAACGCCGTGGAGATCGTACGATTGCAGGATTCGGGAATTCACGTTCCTTCTCTAAACGCCGGCGGCGTGAAGTGATCGCCGGTTCTCGTACGTTGCTGGTTTCAGGGTTAATTCACTCGCGATATCGATATTAAATGGAATGACCTGACGTTAGCTTCAGGTGACAGGGGGCGTCGGGCAGCCGCGCTCCTGAAATTCGCGTCGGAACTCGAAGAAAGCCTCGTTTACAGCCACACCGTGTCCGCGTAACGCGAGAAACGTTCGAAGAATCGGAATACGCGTGAAATAATTGAGATGTTTAGGGGAAAGTCCTCTATTATGAGACAGGTCCCTAATATGAGATAGCGGGGTTTCCGCCAAATGGAATAGGCCTCGTCTGTTGGCTTCGCCATGAATTTATTGCCCTCGGAGTGAAATCTGTTTCTGCGGAGAATTGACCGTTTAGATCGCGCGATCGTTGCGAAAAAGGATTTGTGATTGAATTCGGGCGTTGAAAACCTACTGTCTCGTATCAGAATCCTATCTCATAACGGAGGACTTGTGCCTCTGCGCGTCCGAGCGCACGGCCTGCACGGAACTGTCAGTGGCGTTTCGTCCCGAGATTCCATCTGACGAGAACCCGTGGACCGAGTCAGGCCTGAAGCCTCGTCTACAAAGTGCACGCCGCGTCTGGAAACGTTCCGTTTCGCAGCCGATAAATACGTTTAAAGAAATTTGTGCAAGCTGACGTACTGCGTTATGGATAAAATTTTTTAAACGTATTAATTTTGCTTGTACAAAATAGAACGGTCCACATTCTGAATCTTCCTTATATCGATGAAAGTGCCGCTAGAATTTATTTTCAAGGATTCTTATTGGCCGAGAAGATCTTTTGCGGGCACTTTTATCGATGAAAGATGATTCGGAACACGGGGCCTTCGTCAAGGGCCAGTTTCACAAACGTCGGTTAACTGTTAACCGGTGTTCAGTCGACAGAGAATCAATTAACCTTCGGTTAGCAGTTAACCGACGTTCGTGAAACTGGCCCTAAGGCCGGTATTCGTAGTCCGTTCTTATATTTAAGATTATCTTAAGGATGTATTGGACGTACAATCTTAGACAAAAGTGCACGAAATTGGAGATACTTGAATATCTACTCTTAACGCACAGTAAATCTAGATGTAAGAAACTTGAACGATAGTTGGAGTCTTATTTGTACTCCTATATACAAAGGTATCTTTCACTTTACAAATGTCTTTTCCTGCATTACTTGCGACTTTTTTTACTTATGAGCCTAAACTTTTGATAGTGAATATACCCTGATTTCAACTTAATAACGCAAGTATTTTCAAAACTAAAAACATTATTCATTAGCGCTGGTAAACAAATGTGATTTCAAAACACATATCGTGCCGACAGCACGAATATCTCAAGTTATATTTTATTTCTTTAAAACGGTGTAGTGTAAAGACTATTGAAACTTGGTAGATATTTTCATCTATTCGCATACTAGATGTAAAAAAAAATCATATTTCTTCCACATTTTTTTAGCTGTTTTATCCGTGAAGATCGGCTCTTTCCATAAGAGTATAACGTGTAAAATCAGTGTAAATTAAAATAGTTATATCTCAGCAACCGTTTAGTGGATGCATTTTTACTTTTCTGCAGTACATAGGAAGACTAAAGGAACAATTTCACAAATTTTTAGCGACTTTGTACTATTTTGAAGATAGGCCCGATACATCCTTAAGTACACACTTAACGTGTTTTTAACCAATCGCAGAGCCGTATTAGCCTCTTAAGGCAACACTTAAGATGATTTTGAGATAAGAATCGACTATGAGTACCGGCCTAAAAGCACGTTGTATATTAGGCTTAAGGAACGATTCTCAATACGATCGCCGATAGGATGCCTGTCTGTACGTGTGTGCGTGCGCATGGGAAAAGTTCAGATGTTCGCGTCTATCTATTGGCATTATCGGACGAACGATTAACGCGGAAAAACAGTATCGCCGGTCTGCGACGTGCACGATAAGAAAAGCGCGAGGAAGGGACGACAGGTCCGCCCTTTTCGAGTCCGCATGTCACGCACTCCCTACGGTTTTTAAGACGAAAAACAAACCGTACGTGATTAGACGCCGCGCGACGCGAAGGACGAGAAAGTGTGTGTGTCTCTCTCTCTCTCTCTCTCTCTCTCCCTCGAGAGAAGCCCTCGATAGGTGGACGGCGGTAGAGCCGAAATGTTCCCTTTGTACATTTTCTTTCTCCCTGGAGCTTCATTTCCTTTTCCTCTCCCTGCCATTTCCCCTCAGAAGTACGCATCGCGCGTATTCATTCTCAAATTCGAGAAGTGTCAAAGGGAGCCGCAGGTAAAGCGAGCGGAGCTAACGGACCTTGTCGGGTCGGTCCGTCCGTTTTGATCCGCGCTTCCTATCTTCCGTCTCTCTCTCTCTTTATCTCTCTCTCTCTCTCTCTATCTATCTATCTCGCTCGCTTGCTCGAAGCGAGGCCGGAGAGAGAGATATATTCATTTCGCTCCGAATGCGGAGTACGCAAGTAAAACAGACCTAAAACAATTTACGAGCAAGTACGCTCCTCGGCTGCCGTGTGTGCATCTGTGTGTGCGCAGGTGAGGAGAAGGGAGGGGGCTCACACGCGACACATACGAATGTACGAACACACCGGGCCGAGGAGAGCCGGCGAACGAACCAGGCGAGATACGAATGCACGTCTCTCTGCACACACACAGCGATGCGACGCGCGCGCGCGCGAGAAAGACAGAGAGAGAGAGAGAGAGAGAGAGAGAGAGAGAGAGAGAGCAGAAAAAAAAGAGGAAGTCGGGAGATGCGCACGCCGCCAGGTGGTGCGCCGAGCGAGAGCGGTGTGCGGCCTGGTGCCGTCGCCGCCGCCGCCACCGCCGCCGCCGCTGCCGCTGCCGCTCGTGCGCCCGCCTGCGCGCTAGAGGTGCTCGCTCTCTCGTCCGTGACACACCGGCGACGCGCGCTCCGGGAAGCGAGCGCCGTTTTACTTGCGGGGAAAACGGTGTGTAGTAGTGTAGCGTGGTATGGTGGCGGCCTCCTCCTCTTTCTCTCTCTCTCTCTCTCTCTGTCTCTCTTTCTCGCCGCACTGAAACGGAGCAAGCGAGGACGGAGCGGAGCAGAGTTCGCGTAGTGGCGAGAAGAGGGGTAGGGAGGAGTACGTGAGTGCGTGCGAGAGAGAGAGAGAGAGCCGAATCATTCGCGTGAGAGCGAATGAGCGAGTGAGATGCATACATATGTACATACGCGCGCGCGTACAGATGCGCGCTTAGACGTGTGTGTGGAATGATTCGAGCCCGCGAGACACGCTCGCACCTCGATGATCCGCGCCGCCGCTGGCCGCAGCAGCCGCCGCCGCCGCCGCCAGTGAAAATCGCGTGAACGCACGCACGCACGTACGTACGTATGCATCTATATGTATGCGCGCGCGCGCGCGCGCGCGTGGACAGACGGACAGACGGACAAGGGTGGTTTTCTGACGAAACGCCGCTGGTGGCGTGCAGCGGCGCGTCCTTAGCCGCGAGATACGCCGCGAGACGGTACGGGAGCGAAGCGAACGGTGTACACTCTCTCATCTGGTTGGTTGACTCGCTTTACTCGCTCGCTCGCCGCCGCCGCCGCCGCCGCTGGCCGCTGCAAGAAAGTGCCATCGCTGGAAAAAAAAAAGAGTACTGTGCGGGCAGAGACGGTGCGACGCGGAGTGACGCGCTGCCGCCCGACGTCGGGAATATCGAGCGTCGCGGTGGCCGCGCGATAACGACGAATTCTCTCTCTCGCGCGGCGCCGAGTCCCGAACGGAAATCTTTCTCGCTCTCTCCGCGTCGTCCCTCTCTCTCTCTCTCTCTCTTTCTCTGTTCCGCGATAATGGCGTACTTTCCGTAGTCATCGGTCCCGTCGTTTTTCTCAGTCGCTCTTACTCCGTCTCTCTCTCTCTCTCGTTCGCTCTCTTTCTACCGTTCGTCGCCGTCGTCGCCACCGCCGCCGCCGCCGCCGCCGCCGCCGCCGTCGTCGTCATCGATGTGTCGACAACGCGAGTGACCCGAGGACGACGACGACGACGACGACGCTCTCACGTGAGAGACCCCGTCTCGCCGCGACGCCGATTTCAGCGTATGCCATAACCCCGCGACGAGCCGCGCACACAAGGCGGCTTCCTACTTCGCCGCTGTGAAGACGCGACGATGAAATACGGCCGAGCGTGAACTGCCGCGGTGTGAGAGAGAGAGAAAGAGACAGAGAAAGTACGAGAGCCTCTCTTTTTTTTTCTCACCACCGTTCGTTCGTTCGTCCGTTCGATGCAGTTTCGACCGTTCGCTCGCTCATTCGTTCATCGCCCGCTCTCTCGCTCGCTCTCGCTGTCTCGCTCTCTCACTCGCGCACGCACACATCGAATGAGTGTATTTTTGTTCATTTTCTGACGAGACACGAGAACGTTCTCCTCTCTCTCTCTCTCTCTCCTCCTCCTCCCCCCTCCCCCTCTCCTCTTTCTCTCCGTCTCTCTCGTTCTTTCCCTTGCTCCCCCACTGTCGCGCGTCGCGCTGTATTTGTCAGTGTGTATCGGGCTTGTACGTGCCCCAATTTTTTGTTTTATCTATTTCATTCTCTCTCTGGGTCCCCCGGCCGTTCGCTTCCCCGTTTTATTCGACGCTGCCCATCGATCGGCGATATCGCGCCGATTTTCGTCCGGCGGAACGTTTATTCCACGGGACGACGGCAATGCCATATTGTTGCACGTAAGGAAGCCGCCGGGTATTGTTCGCTCGCGCCGCCGATCCCGCGGTCTGTCAGCGTTTCGGTAAAAGTTCGCCACCGCCGAACGTGATAATACCTCTCTCTTTCTCTCTCTCGATTTCAATCTCTTCGGCTGCTGTACAATAGATTTCGTCGCTCGCTGTCGTACGAAAAAAAAAAAAATCCCGCTACAGTGGCTCGCCGAAAACGTACGCCCCGCACAGTGAGCTATCAGATCCGTTGTTTTCTTCGTGACTGAACTGGAAGTACAGTCTTGTTCCTTAATGTCTGGACCTCAGTTTTACTAGGATTCACACTTTCATAATCTTTACTCCCATCTATAGACCCATCTATATCGATGGGTTTCAGGCTGTAGTTGACGCAGCTTCTGTGGAAGTCTGGTAGTAACATACGTACAGCCTGAGACACGGTGATTTGTATAGACGAGAAAAATGTTGATAGAAATGCAGGTCCAGGCATTGGATGAATAAAACTCGTACGCTCGCTGTACTTGAAGTGAAATTGGTAGAGGAAGGTCCTCTGTTACGGGATAGGATTTTAATATGAGACAGTAGGTTTTCAACGCCCAAATTCAATCGCGAATCCTTTTTCGCAACAATCGCGCGATCTAAACAATTTTCCACTAGACAGATTTCACTCCAAGGGCAATAAATTCGCGATGAAATCACTAGACGATGCCTATTAATTTAGCAAAAACCCTGCTATCTCGTATTAGGAGCCTGTCTCATAGGGGGACTTTCCTCTATACGTTCGGGATGCGGCGAGAAGGATCTGAAAGCCTGCGTCGGTCTACGCGGCTGGAGATCCGAGGGTTGCGAATTGGAGATTATAGAATTCGACCGATCGTAATGGAGCGGAGTGAAGTTCGAGCTTATCCGACCGGTCGAATCCCAATCTTCAGTTCGCAACTCTCCAAATCTTCGACGCGCAGTCCGATACTGTGCGCAGCGATAACAGAAAAAGAGAAAGAAAAACCGCCTATCGTAGCGACTCGCGCCGAAAATCTTCGCGTTCGCGCCGCGCGTCCGGAGGGAAGGACGCGAGGGGGAAACCGCTGAGGGTATTGTGGTATTACAGATTTGCGGCATTACTGGGCATTACTAGGCATTTTTTGGGGCATTAGGCCCTGCTGGGCAGTATAAGGATAAAATTGAGGGGGAAATT